TGACTCTACTCATTGAATTTTGCTTATGCCTCCTTGACAATGGCTATGCAACTCTTCCTGTTATCTCCATATGAGGGTACAGCTCTAAAACTCAGTTTAATGGTTCTGAGGCCGGCTGGTAGTAAGGTTTCCCGAACTCTGTGGTAGCTCTCAGAGAGGCTGATTCCATCAACAGCTGCAAAATATCAGAGTATTAACAGTACCATGTTGCATATGGGTGGTGTCCCTGTTAATGCTTTTGGTGTGCATTGTCAAGGCTACATAAGGAGCCCTATGTCACGGCTTAGGGTTAATTAACAGGACAGAGACAACTGCATAGCTCACTGATTAGGAGGCTGTGCTCTATCTATGAATGAGTCAAGTTCTCATAAAACCCAAATCATGACCAAAAAAAACAAAAATTTAAAACCTAAAAAACCATCCCTAACACCTAAATATTTTAATATATCTTTTACAAATATTCGCGATCTACGAAGCAACTTTCCATCAGTTGAGTCTTACCTCCTGCAAAATTCACCAGACTTGCTTGCACTCAGTGAAACAAATTTAAATTCTGCAATTCCTTCTTCAGATGTCAGTGTTGATGGGTACTATCCTTTGATTCGTAAAGACTCCAATAGTCACATGCTAGGTTTAGGGGTATACATACGCATTAATTCCCCTATTTGTCGTGAAATCAGTTTTGAATCCTTTGACCATTCTTTTATGTGCTTTCGCCTAGCACCTCTTTACTCTATCACCTTTCTCTTTGTTCTTTATCGTTCTCCTTCTTCCCATGATTGCTCTCTCTTAGATGTTATCTCTGATCAAATTGACCATGCCCTCTCTCTTTACCCCTCTGCCAATATTGTTGTTGTTGGTGATTTTAATGCCCATCACACTGAATGGCTTGGCTCTAACATCACTGATCCTGCTGGCACTAAAGCCTTTAACTTCTGCGTTTCTCAATCTCTTACTCAAATAGTTAACTTTGTGACTCATTTTTTCCTGACAACCCTAATCATTTACCTTCACTCCTTGACTTATGTCTTGTCTCTGACCCTAGCTTATGTTCAGTTTCTCCCTTTTCTCCCATAGGTGGTTCTGACCATGCAATGATCTCTATAAATCTTTCTTCTCATACTTCTTTTTTGGGCTCACCTTATCATCGCACCACCTACTGCTACCCTAAAGCTGACTGGGATTCCTTTCGTGATTTTCTTCGTGATGGTCCTTGGGCTGATGTTTTTTCTCTCTCAGCTGACAAATGCGTATCCTACATAACCTCCTGGA